AACTACCTGATGCCAGACTGTCCGTTCAGCCACATGTCCCTGACACCCACCCTGCTCCTACAGCCCCATCTGTCAGCCCACCTCCCTGGGCAGAGCAGAGCCAAAACCAAAAGGTTTGATGCCCAGAACAGCAGCTAGAAGGTCACACTGGGCACTCCTGGCTCTGGGGAGTAGCTCAAGGGGCCACACTCCAACAGTGGGCAATATGGGGCCTGAGGCCCAGGAGGGTCTCATCTAGCCTCTGCCCACTAGCCACTTTCACTTCACTAAGAAACCAAATCTTTCTTTACCTTCATTGTGTGTACCGGCCCTTTATCCAGTACACAAATGTGGAGAAGTGGGTCTGACTGAGGAGTGGCTGCCCCAGGCTGACAAGGGTAAATTGATCTCCCACTTCACAGGAAGGGGCTGGGCTCCCTGAGCGGGAAGGCCCAGAAGGAGTCTGTGTCTGCCTTGCCATAGCTCTCTCGGAGGCAGCTGCTCAAACACAAGAAGCCTCAGCCACTACCTGCCAAGTGCCCCGGGGACACTGGCCTGAGGGCAGAGCCATTCCTCTGGGGCCTCATAGCTCCTGAGGGCCCAGGCAGGGTGCAGTTGCCCCCGTGGAGCCAGAGTGCGGAAACCACAGCCCTCGACAGCACATGGAGCAGCTCCTCGCCTGCCCAGGCAGCGCCACTCTCAGGCCTGGCCTCCCTCCTGCACCAGTCATGGAAAAGCAGCTCCTTCTAAGTGCGTCCATCCACCGCCCCACAAGGCTGAGGGACACAGCTGCTCACCCGCCACGGCCTGAAGGAAAACAGAATGCCAGGTGACATGGCCTCGCGAGTTTTTAGAAGTGGCAGAGCCCTCAGGATTGCTCCACAATGCCCACCAGACTCAAGCTCTACAGCAGGCAAGTGGGGAGTGCCCAGTGATGTAGACACAGCGGGCCACGCGGTCACTGCCTTTGGATGCTGGAAGCTGCCTCTCCCAACGGTCAGATCCCTGGGGGCAGGGCCACCGCAGCACCTCCAGGACTCCCTGTAACTTAACTTCTATCCCAAGTCAGGCTTCTCCATGCCAAAGCAGACTACCACAGAGCTGGCCCTGAGAGGCCCACGGGACTGCCAGAGCCTCCCAATCCCCAACGGCTCTCTGCTCCAAGTTCTAGGGTGGTATCAGACAAGTGGGACCTCACAGGGTTTGGCCCAAATCAGGACTTTTCCTGTCCCAAGACAAACACGTGAGGAGGCTGAGCCTTGCACAGAGGATTCCCATTACCTTCCTGCCTCCGCAGGTGTCCGCTCTCTTGGGGACAGGTTGCCTGGGCTCACAGTCTCGAGTCAAAGTCAACTTCTTGGTGCCTTGGTTTCCACAGGAGTACAACAGACATAATAGGGTAGTGACCCCAAAAGTCAGAATGAGGACTGCAGGAGTTGGTGGGGCACAGGGAGGCGAAAGCCACTCATCAACAGGTGTGAAGCCTGGGCAGCAGCCCTCACATCACCCTCCTCTAGAGCCAGCTCACGGCTGGAACTTCTACAGACTTAGAGAGGAATCTGGTGCCCAAGGACCACTTCCAATTTGGTCTGAGCTACTGGACCTTCCTCAGACACTCACACCCGTCCCTACCTTGGTTTCCCCATCCTCTGAGAGAGGAAATTATGATACAAGAGAGATAGGAAGAAGGAAGCAAAGAGGACAGCGCAGCTGCTCTCACCAGCTCTGCCACAGTTCTTCATGCGGCTGCTGAGCCTACAGGATGAGAGGGATACCCAGGTGGGCTCACCTGGGAGCTGGGCTCAGACAAGTCCAGAGGAGGCTCTGAAAAGCATCCAGGCCTTGAAGGGCAGGCAGGACTTCCAAGATCCAAGACTGGGAAGAGGCAGGGATAGTGAGGGCCACGAAAGCAATCAGGAGGCAGGGGAGCAGTGCAGGCTGAGCAGGCCAGAGGCTCAGGCTGCCCTCCAGGAGATGCAGTGGGGCCACTCCAGACCCCGCAAGGAGTAGGGACAAGGTGATGACAGGGACAGCAGGGAGGGTATCCAGGCTTGGGTGAGGCAGACGCAAGAGAGAAGCTGAAGATACCAGCCAGCACACACTTACTGTGTGTGCTTACTGAGTAAGCACTTACTGTGTGCCAGGCACCAGTCCCAGCCTGTGACAGGTTGCAGCTCACCAAATTCCACCCCTGGGTTCCCTGGGACATAAGTATACTGCACAGTCAAGATCCTGAGGTAGCACAGAAGCCAGCAAGGACGTCCAGACCTTGTCTTCCTGCTCTCTCTGGAAGCCGAACGAGGATGGGGCTGAGACTGCGCTAGGATCCCCACCACTGGCCCTCACATTCCAAACCAAACCCTCACATTCCAAAGAGCTACCCACTCCCGGTACCTACCTGAGCCCTGCAGGCAGCAACTGTCAGCCCAGTACCCCTGCCCTCCTCAAACTGCAGCTGAGGACACAGAGCAAGATGTTCCATGGCCACTAAGGACAGGAAACACCACATGGCTGACCAAAATTTATCCGATTCTCTTCCCCACCATGGTGGGGAAGGGACACAGCAGAACTTGGGACAGACAGGGCCCTTACTAAGCCAGGCTCAATCACCAGCAAAATGGGCCATTGGTACCCCTCTTCCCTAATACCATGGTGTCAGCAGGACATGGACACACATACACTTACCAAATGAGAAAGGCCAGCTCCACTGCCCTGCACAGGACACTCTTCAGGTCTGGTCACAAACCCAGTCACCTGGGATAGGCCAGTCAGCTTTCCTCCCTCAAGCCAATATTATCTACAAATGCTAAATAGGAATACAAGTACCTCTGTGGCACAATTTGTTAGTAACTGAACCCACTTTAGTTAAAGATATAAAGCTTTAAAAAGAATGAAGATGGCTCATCTCTCTACAGGAGAAAAAAATAAAATTAAAAAAAGATCCAATTGATATTGTCGCCTTAAATTTTTATTTTTTTTTTTCAAATTATCTTTATTTAGCTGCACTGGGTCTCTCTGAAGCAGCATTTGGGATCTAGTTCCCTGATCAGGGATCGAACCTACACCCCCTGCACTGAGAAAGAGGCGTCTTAGCCACTGCACCACCAGGGAAGTCCCTAAATCTTTATTTTTTAAAATAAGAGTTAATATTTTGAAGTATAACAATACAATGACTTAGAGAGGCTGACAAGAGCCTAGGCTGACATGACTTTGAGTAAACTGATGTGAGCTTTCTGGCAATATCTACTGAGGCTCTAACTCACCTTCCTCTAGCTTCGGCTGAGACTTCCATCTGAAGACTCTGAGGAGAGGGGCTGGGGAAGGCCAGGCTCCCCTCTGAGCTGCAGAGAAGGTGAACGAACCTAAGATGCTCCCACTTCATTTTCTCAAGACCCCTAAGCCTCCCTCCATCATTCCCCTACCCCATACACCAAGATGAGGTTTTGCCAGAGGGATTACATATCACCTCTCTAGTAGATTTAGTGCCAGATAAGGCTGGCTTGGAAGAGGTACCAATACCTGCTGACACATACAAGACCTCGAGTTGAAGGAGCTACACAACCATCCTCCTCGGGCACCCTATCTGTCTTCTACAGGTACTAACAAGGCACTTGTTCCACCAAGCAGATTTAAGTACGTTCATGCATTAACTCCCTTCACTATCAGAAGAGGACCTGACTGGTCTCCTGAGTGAGGCATGTAGACTCAAAACACTCCAGGGACCTGCCTGAGGCCATCAGGAGCGGGCTGCTGGGAGGTGGGCAGCTGGAGAAGCAGCAAATGCGGTGGATCCTGAGACCAAGGGCCAAGAGCCCACCTGGACAAGGGAAGAATCAAGTAGGGAAGGAGTAGACTATCTCAGACACTGACAGGCTAAATATCTGACACCTTCTCTAGCCTTTTTAAATATCTCTCAGATGAACCCTTTCTGGGTGAGATGGTGCGGTGGGAGAAGGTTCATACTCATAGCCCCATCACCAGTAAGGGGCTAGACCTGGGTCCAAACCTGGGTGTCCACCCAGAAAGCAACTTCTCCCTTCCCACCCCTACAACAAGGCTGGGGAGTCAAGAAGGACTGAGATATGAAATGGTGTTTAAAACCATCTAAGAGAATCACTTCAGGGAAGGACTGCCCAGTTTTACCACTGCAAGATTTCTTGGTAGCCGAGTGATCCAACCTGTTCATCCCAGAGTAAAAATATCACAGGAGAGATAAGCCTACACCTGCGACAAAAATCTACAGACGTGTCCCTCAACTTTGGGAAAGGGCCTGGATGGGCAACTAGGAGAGGAAGGGGACAGAACACTGTATCCCAGAGAAGTAACCAGCAGGGTGGTCAGAGAGCCGAGCATGGGGAAGGCCTGTGGGATACCCCCGCCAGCGGTGATGGCCACATGCAAGGCAAGACCCCAACTTGACCCTTTCCTGGTGTCCCGGCGCTCACACAAGACGCTGAAACCGCTGAAGGCAGCTGCGCCCAGAGACCGGAGATGATATACATAGAAATGTTGGAGACACAAGCCTGGTGTTTCCTAGTCGGCCACCTGCATCCATCCCACGTTCCCATCCCCCCTACCCGAAAAGTCAAACGCCGCAGAGGACAACACCCCCACTGTGCCCGAGACCTGCGATCAAGAGCAGAAAGGCTGACCACCAAGCTCCACCGCAGTCCTTGACGCGGAGGCCAGGGTTTCTAGAACCCAAATCGCCCACCGCACCTAAGGCCCTTCATCCACCGCAGGGCCGCCTCCGGGACGGCCAAGCACAGTGACCCTAGGTGCCCCGGTGTTGGTCTGGTCGGCCCGGAGTCAGCAGTCGGCTGGTGGTCGACCTAACTCGGGTTAAGGAGTCAGTTTGGCCTGGGTCGGCGGCTGCCTCGGGGGGCGCCTTCTTGGCTCGGGTCAAGGGCCGATTCTGGGGTCGGCGCGGAGGTCAGCTAGGTGGGATGAGGGATCGGATCCCGGGTCGGAAACGGCCGGGGGGCGCGGAGGGCGTGGCGCCAGCCGCCCTTGCTCCTTACCTCCTTGAGCTGCTCCATCTCGCCGCGGATGGCCTCGTAGTCCACCTCGAGCTCTTCGAACTGCAGTTTGAGTTGGTGCTTCTCCTCGAGGACTGCCAGCCCGTACTCGGCCGCCTGGATCTTCTCACGCGTGGTCTCGGCCAGTTCGTGCGACAGCCGCTTCACCTCCGCGCGCAGCCACTCCGGCTGCGCCTCCATCACGAGCCGCGCGTACTCTTCTTCCTCGGACGGCGCGGACATGGTGGCTACGGCCCGAGTCGCACCACTCGCTCCGTCGGAGGCTCAGACAAGACTCCTGTCCGCCGCCGCCGCCCCGCCCGACGGCAACCCGGCCGCAGCCGCCGCCACCGCCGTCGCCGCCGCGCAGCCGCAGTGAGCTCGCGGTCGCGCGGGGCACTGTGGGGGCCATAGTCCCGCCTGCGGCAACTACAAGGCCGGTCGTGCCCCGCGCCCGTCTTCCCCCGCCGGTGATTGGCCCGGGCCGGGTCGGGCGGCCCCTTCCAATTCCGTAGTCTCCGCCGCCTCCGCGCGGAGCATTGTGGGGGTCGTAGTCCAGTCGCTGCGCCGACTACAAGGTCCGTAGTTCCCCACGCCCTCCCGCCCCCGCCCGTGATTGGTCGGCGCGTCAGCCGTCGCGGAGCCGGAAACGTGTTTTCCGGTGCCAGCCCCAGGGCCTGGGAGACGGGGGTCGGTTGCTAGGTGGGTCGCTGGGGAGGGTACGCACTGCGCTGGGCAGGGGATGGGTGGAGCGGGCCACCGGTATGAGCTACCAGAGGTGGAGCGCCCGGAGCGTCGGGGAAACGGCGGGCCGGGTGGCGGTGAGGACTGTAACCTGCTGGTTCGGGCCTTAGCCAGTGGGAGAAATGGTCAAACCACTAGCAGAAGAGGCGCCTTCCATCCAGCTAAATACGAAATGCTGCGTGCGTGTTTCCTAAGAATTAGGCATCTCCATTCGCTCTACAGTGATCCAATTCAGGACCGTCGACACGGACGCGGCCTCGAATCCAGCATAGAGTCCTTGCGCTTGTAGCATGGTTCCAGCCCAGGACCTGGTCCTGGGTCACTCAAACGGCAGTCAGCTGTCTTTGCTCTTTGTCTTCATGACCTTGACCTTTCGAGGCGTGCAAGCCAGAGATGTACACACGGTTGCATCCTCCAGGGTTAGAGTAGGTTATGCCCTTTGGCTGGAATATCACGAGATGGTGCTAAATTTTCAAAGAATTCTATCAGGAAGCTCGTAAACCCATCGCCCAGATGCTGCTGGGCACTCCTTTGTAATCACTATTCTATAAGAAGACAATTTACACTTTACAGATATTCCATCACTCCTCAAGCTTTTTTAATATTTTGTTGCAGTAGATGTGATTTATAATATGAGTTTCAGGTGTACAAAATAGTGATTCACAATTTTTAAAAATTATACTCCATTTATAGTTATACAATATTGACTATATTCCTTGTCCTCTACAATATATTGTAGCTTTATTTTATACAAAGTGGTTTGTATCTCTTGATCCCTTACCCCTATCCAGCTCCTCCCCATTTCCTTCTCCCCACTAGTAACCACTAGTTTGTTCTCTATCTGTGAGTGCTTGCTTTGTTGCTATATTCACTAGTTTGTTTCATTTTTTAGTTTCCACATAAAAGTTATACAGTATTTGTCTTTGTGTCATTTCACTTAGCATAATATCTTATAGGTCTATCCATGTTGTTGCAGGTGGCAAAATTTAATTTTTTTTAATGACAGTAGTATTTCATACCACATAGTCTTTTTTTTTTTCAAGTTTGCTTTCATGTTTTTTTTGTTTGTTTTCTTTTTTTTTTTTTTTACATGTATTCCCCATCCCGATCCCCCCTCCCACCTCCCTCTCCACCTGATCCCTCTGGGTCTTCCCAGTGCACCAGGTCCAAGCACTTGTCTCATGCATCCAACCTGGGCTGGTGATCTGTTTCACCCTAGATAATATACATGTTTTGATGCTGTTCTCTTGAAACGTCCCACCCTCGCCTTCTCCCACAGAGTCCAAAAGTCTGTGCTATACATCTGAGTCTCTTTTTCTGTTTTGCATATAGGGTTATTGTTACCATCTTTCTAAATTCCATATATATGTGTTAGTATACTGTAATGGTCTTTATCTTTCTGGCTTACTTCACTCTGTATGATGGGCTCCAGTTTCATCCATCTCATTAGAACTGATTCAAATGAATTCTTTTTAATGGCTGAGTAATATTCCATGGTGTATATGTACCACAGCTTCCTTATCCATTCGTCTGCTGATGGGCATCTAGGTTGCTTCCATGTCCTGGCTATGATAAACAGTGCTGCGATGAACATTGGGGTGCAGATGTCTCTTTCAGATCTGGTTTCCTCGCTGTGTATGCCCAGAAGTGGGATTGCTGGGTCATATGGCAGTTCTATTTCCAGTTTTTTAAGAAATCTCCACACTGTTCTCCATAGTGGCTGTACTAGTTTGCATTCCCACCAACAGTGTAAGAGGGTTCCCTTTTCTCCACACCCTCTCCAGCATTTATTGCTTGTAGACTTTTGGATAGCAGCCATCCTGACTGGCGTGTAATGGTACCTCATTGCATAGGAGCCTGGTGGACTGCCATCTATACGGTCACACTGAGTCGGACACGACTAAAGCGACTTAGCAGCAGCAGCATACTAATTCTTTTTATTTTTTGGTTTTTTGAGGAACCTCCATACTGTTTTTCCACAGTGGCTGCACCAATTTACATTCCTACCAACAGTTTACAAGAGTTCCCTTTTCTCTATATACTCACCAACATTTGTTGTTTGTAGTGTTGTAGCGACTCTTTGCAACCCTGTGGACTATAGCCCGGCCAGGCTTCTCTGTCCATGGGATTCTCCAGGCAAGAATACTGGAGTGGGTTGCCATGCCCTCCTCCAGGGTATCTTCCTAACCCAGGGATCTAAACCCACATTTCTTATGTCTCTTGTATTGGCAGGTGGGTTCTTTACCACTAGTGCCACCTGGGAAGCCCATTCTTACAGGTGTGAGATGATAGCTTATTATGGTTTTGATTTGCATTTTTCTAATAATTAATAGTGTTGAGCATCTTTTCATGTGCCTATTAGCCATCCACATGTCTTTCTTGGAAAAATGTCTGTTCAGGTTTCTAGCCCATTTTTTTAATTGTATTGTTTGGTTTTTTTATATTGACTTATATGAGCTCTTCAAACTTTCAGCTTACTAGTTTTCATTGATATTTCTTCCCTAAAGAGATTAGATTATTAACCAGACTATTCTCTTCTATTTCCCTCATTCCTGCTCCACTTAGTAACTTGGTACTTTAGAGAAGATATTTCATTCGTTAGTGGTATGAATCTGTGGATTCTTATTTTACTTAATGAGTTATAATCCATTATTCTCCATATTCACTTAGACGCTCCAATGCGGCAGATCTGGCTAGTGGAATCTGCTCAGCTGAGTCTGTGTCCTTTCAACATGTCATGATTTTTGAGAATTTTCTTTGATTATAGCAAAGTTGTTTCAGGATCATCTTGTACTCTGTGTCCCAGACCTGGAATCACCCATTTCTCTAAGGAGCCCTGATTCCTTTTAGTAGTTTAGCAGTTTATTTGTCTGAGGAGACTATGTCATAATTTTACTTGTGAAAATAAAAAATTACTTTTAGGGCATTCAACCACAGTAGGAGTATGATGCCCAAACAGCCAGCCTATCCTGGTCATAGCACCAAGAGTCCCAAGTCCTGAAAAGCCGTAAGGCCTGTGTTCACCGTTCAGTCTCAGTGGGAGAGATGTTCCGGAAGAGAAGAGAGGAGGAACAAGCCTTATTTGAGTCTGATTAACATAAGATGAAAGGCTGATACTCTGAGAAGTGATGGTCCTTTCTGACCCAAGGGAAAGGAGTACATCAAGGCTGTATATTGTCACCCTACTTATTTAACTTATATGCAGAGAACATCATGAGAAACCCTGGGCTGGAAGAAGCACAAGCTGGAATCAAGATTGCCGGGAGAAATATCAATAACCTCAGATATGCAGATGACACCACTCTTATGGCAGAAAGTGAAGAGGAACTAAAAAGCCTCTTGATGAAAGTGAAAGTCAAAAAGTTGGCTTAAAGCTTAACATTCAGAAAACTAAGATCATGGCATCTGGTCCCATCACCTCATGGGAAATAGATGGGGAGACAGTGGAAACAGTGTCAGACTTTATATTTTGGGGCTCCAAAATCACTGCAGATGGTGACTGCAGCCATGAAATTAAAAGACGCTTACTCCTTGGAAGGAAAGTTATGACCAACCTAAATAGCATATTAAAAATCAGAGACATTACTTTGCCAACAAAGGTCCATCTGGTCATGGCTATGGTTTTCCAGTAGTCATGTATGGATGTGAGAGTTGGACTGTGAAGAAAGCTGAGCGCCGAAAAATTGATGCTTTTGAACTGTGGGTTGGAGAAGACTCTTGAGAGTCCCTTGGACTACAAGGAGATCCAAGCAGTTCATCCTAAAGGAGATCAGTCCTTTTGGAAGGACTGATGCTGAGGATGAAACTCCAATACTTTGGCCACCTCATGCGAAGAGTTGACTCATTGGAAAAGACCCTGATGCTGGGAGGGATTGGGGGCAGGAGGAGAAGGGGACGACAGAGGATGAGATGGCTGGATGGCAGCATTGACTCGATGGGCATGAGTTTGAGCAAACTCTGGGAGTTTGTGATGGACAGGGAGGCCTGGCGTGCTGCGATTCATGGGGTCGCAAAGAGTCGGACATGACTGAGGGACTGAACTGAACTGAACTCTGACCCAAGCTGTCCAAACTCCAAACCCCTACCGAACTCCACACCTTCATATGAGGCTGGCCTGAGGGAGGGAGAGAATAAAAGGTGGTAATCTGGTGCAGGCATTGACAACAAAGCTTAGGGTGGCAGTAGAAGGGGACAGGCAAAGACTCTTACAGGTGTTGGGGACAGAGTGCCTGTCCCTGGAAGAGTCATGATAATGTAACAATATCGTGGCAGGTTGGGGGGGAGGAATAGGCATCAGGAGAAGATTCCCTGCAGAGGTGACACCCAAGCGGACACCCAGAAAGTGCACAGGAAGTGGCCGGTCAGACTGGTGGAATAGGGGATTGGCAAAGATAAGAGAGGCGGGGCCACTGCTTGTTGGGCTCCAACTGGGTCTCCATGGTCGCCAGATACTTTACTTCCATTATCTCTGAATGCTTCCAACACCCCAGGGTGTGGGG